AACCCCGGTATCAAAAAATCTCATCTCAAAAGATTCTGCATACCAGTCAGTTTATAACTAAATATTTAACTCAGGAAGTTGTCTGTGCACCAAACCAGACAGTCTTGCAAACAATCCTCATACTTTAAGTCCAATTCATTTGAACATTCTTCCAGCCTGTTAGAAACCTAATTTAATGGCTCTCTAGATCAGGGGTGTCAAACTCAAATACACAGTAGGCCAAAATTCAAAATGGAACAAAGTCACGGGCTAACATTAATATTTATTGAAAAAAAAAATCTTCCTCTAGATATAAGAATAAATCTTTTCTTATGGACTCAAACAAGTTTAGCTGAAAAACTGAATATGGAACAGCAAAGCTTAATACTAAACAATATATACATTAGCTGTATAATACCAGTAGGCCTGCTCTAATAGTAATTTGGTATGGCCAGAGTTTGACACCTATGCTCTAGATGCTTTTCTCAAGTCTAAAATATGACGCAGTGCCCTAAATAATGTTAAGGCAAAACAGTTTAAAAAGGGACATTTTGTGAAACTTTGAACCCAAACTACAGATAACACTGTCCAGCGGGTCTTATATCACATGAGTAGATGAACTCTGGTTTCATAGCAACCTTTGTGTTTTCCCCATCATCTGTCAAAACCCCGATACCTGAGAACAGGGGATGGGTGAACTCTCATTGATCCCAAGTGTGGGAGCACAGACCACAGCTTTAACAAGATTTCTTGAAAGTCTGTCAACCACTTAAAAACCTGTGGTGCTTATAAGCCTCACCCTTTATTCTCACACAATTTTCAGCAAAACAGACACAATGCAGGGTTTAGAAAGCCATAAGGAAGAGAGGGTGTTCATTCTGCTGTAAGTGATAGCAAATATCTAGGATAATATTATGCAGTTTTAACAAGCAGCAACAGCAACAGCCTCACTGCCAAGCAGGTCACACAAATCAACAACAACACTTTGGTGAATAAATTACTCAGTCACACATCCTGTGAGAGGCAGCTTCAAGGTCTGCACATCCTAGTGGCATTCACACAGCAATTAATGATGCGATTCTCTCAGTTTACAGGCAGAGCAGTCTTTCCTGTGGCTAGTGGAAGATTCGATGGTTTTAATAATGTCATACTCATTTGGCCTGTAAGCAATAAAATCCACAGCACAAGCTTGTCAACATTGCCCACCAGTCTGCTGCACAGTTGTACCAACCAAACTAAACACAGGGCAGCCAGCTGTGTTTCCACTCACTGCACACACATCCTCAGGCCCAGCGGCACAAAAGGAGTCTTTGTTTTGCATTTTTAATCCACAGTAGGGCTGCCACAAACGATTATTTTGATAGTCGACTAGTCACCGATTATTTTTGCGATTAGTCGACTAATCAGATCATCATCCATTGGACGTAAAACTACAGCTTATTGCACCAGCAGCATCTGCTCTCATATAACTATCATTAGCTTACAGCTTTAAGTGTTTAAGGTCTGTGCTAACTAAAAATAAAGACAAGATGATAGTTTATTAAATTTTAATGAAATTTGCAGATTGTTTCGGTGAAGTTTAATAAACTCCTTGCTATCTAAAATATAACAGGACACTGGAGTATATTCTGGAGCATCTCACACTTCTGATAATCAGTTGTCTGCTTGACGTTTATTCAGCTGTGTAAAAACTATAACTTTAATCTCAGACAAACTGATTTACTCAGGAACAAATAAAATACAAAAAAAAAAGCCAAACAATAACATTTTAAGTTATCTAAGTGACTCATATATATTTAACCTGAGTAGCGAAAGACGGCGGTGGGTTTGAAAACGATTTGCGGGGAGTCCGGTGTTCTCACGGTGCTAGGGAGCCTAGCCCCCGGCTCGCTAACGAGCTAGTGGGTAACAGACGTCTCCGAAAACGTTGGAGCGCTTTTGAAAATATGTGGTGTCCTGATAAACTGAGCAGATATTTGAGGTTTACACAGCTACATTCTCGGCTGAAAATATGTTAAACGTTTATTTTGTGACCCAGAAAGAATAATAAGAGTAACATTAAAACTAACTAGCTGCCGCCATTGTTGGAAACTGCGCTGGGCCGCGCTATGAATTCTGGGACACAGCTGCTCCTTCTTCTTCTTCTTCGGGGTTTAGCGGTAGCTGACATCCTTGTACATGCAATGCTGCCATCTTCTGTTTCAGTCCGTTATTACACTCTTAAATCCTGCCACTTATTCCTGCGTCTTTTGTGATCTTACAAAGCTTCAAACGTCGCGTCGACTATTAAATCAGTCGTCGACGATTTTGATAGTCGACGTAATCGTGACTAGTCGACAAATCTTGGCAGCCCTAATCCACAGACAGGAATCTTTGAGACACAAGCCGCAGTAGTTGGCAGGGGCCCCTTGACTACTGCTGCCCTCCTCTCCCAGAAGAGCAGGACCTGAGCCAGGGGCCTAATCCTGACGCCAAGTGGGTCACTGGAGTTCAGGAGGACGACTGGCAGCATGGGGAAAGCAATCAAAATTAAACGTGGACTTGCAGCCCTATATGACCAACATTTGACCACAAGAAGACAACCACTTAAATAAGAATCAACACTGCATTCCCACCGTACAAGCAGTAGCCCTCTGAGCAAACTGAACAAGTAGAAAACCTGCACAAGTAATGATATTACTTGACTGCTCTGTCTGAGATTATGCGCTTGTCCTTTTCCAGATGACTTAGCAACATTATTTTCCACAGATTAATATATCAGGGCACACCCAAACAACTTTGCTCTGGCCAAAATCTCTCTTTATTGACTGGAGTTAATCTCAGATAAAGAGTGCACTCTTCCGTTGTCTGCCACTACACAAGCTTAAATTAAACATCATTCATCATGCAGAACTCACAAACAAGTGACATGGGATCTAAAAGTCTAACAAGACCTGTGTAGATATGCAATGTAGCAAACATCCTTACACGTCAGTTGAGCTATTGTTTAATCATTAGAAATAAAGTAAAGCGGATGCAGTGGGCATGTCTATCTACAGTGTTCTTTGGCATTAACTACGCTGGACTACATTTATTGATTGACTGAACTTTTCAGAGATAGCCAAAGATAGCCATATCTGCTTTTAGCTCAGCCTTTGAATGTAACAGGACATTTCTGCAATGCATGTACAAAAATCCAGTCTTAGTTTTAAACCATATTATCTTTTGACTACAGGCAGAAAATAATCATTCTGAAGATGTTACACGTTTTACCATTTTTCATTAAACAGTGTTAGCATAAAAAGGTAATGTTTGAACAACAAGAAATTGTCATTTTGATTAAAACTAAACAACCCCTCAGCTTCTAAACTATAAAACATCTACTGTCCACTTTTGTTTGAGCAAAACTTCCATAATAAAGGGAAATGCTTATATGCCATTAACGCCATTACGTGAAATGGGAATTGCACCGATTATACATATTTTTATTAAGCTGTGTGCAGTTGTATTTTAAGTCTCCCCATATAATTGCAGAATCAGTTGTGACTTAAAGTTTAAAAATAAAAGAATTTCGCTCCACACAAACTAAAGAGGAAATTGCAATAATAGTTAATAATCCCATGACCGTGGCTTGTGATAGCACATATAGTGTTAGATATTTCTATGAATTTCAGCCCTAATAATAACACTTGTTATAAAGACCCCCAAATCCAACGCCTTTCTGCACTGAATAAATAATTATAAAACATTATTTTTTACTTGCCGTTACTGGACAAAGTCAAATAATGTCAATGATGTGTGCAAATAAAACATTTTTCCCTCATGTACTGCACCACATTAAGTCTTTTTCAATGTGTATAATGTATGAAACAATTACAGCAAACACTAAAAAGAACAGCGAGTTAGAAAAGAAAGAGGCTACTAGCCCATTTGTACTTGAAGTTATATCAGTCACCGTTGGCATAACCAGAGTCATAAAGTGATATGGTGAATACAAAATCCAAAAAAATAAAAATATATTAGTCAATTCTATAACAGTCTAGTCTGATGATCCACAGACACTGAGCTCTGAATCAAGTTGTTAATAAAACCATGATGTTGTCAAAAACTATGGACACGTCTTGTAGAAGAATAACTTGCACCTTAATTTGGGCCAAAACAATTTTTTGTTGTTTTTTTAATATAAAAATCTCAATCTCATTTGAGTGATGTTTCTGTACTTTTAGTTTTTAAGTCAGAGTGACCTTTAAAATTATTATACTCAGGCTCTCTCCTACTGATTCACAAAAGAGCTTCAAATAACTGCCTGGAGGCATTTCCAAGATGCCTAGACTTCTAGATTTTTCTAGAAGGATATTTGATATTTTTATTTAAACAACCCATCTTGGGTCTGATTTACCCAACAGTATGGCATCTAATCAGCTATGTCTATAGCCACGGACATAGCCGTCTTTAACAAAAGCTAATTATTATGGGTTAAGGCCACCTTAAACCTATACTTTAAGCCTAATCTAATTAATATTTAACAGAGTAACACAGGGAATCCAGATTAAAAATATGAAAAAGAGAGATTCAGTTTAGTTTTAACTATTAAGCAGGAAAAGATAAATACATACAATAGATTATACATTTACATTTATCCAGACTAGGCCTCTTGTAATATACCTTTAGAGAGCTTAACGAGACACAACATGTGTATAACAACAGTAGTGATAGAGCTTTTGTCTGAAGTTAATCAAGGTTATAGCAAGATGTAGTCAAAGAACTGAACTACTTTGCATCTTCGCATGACAAATTCATTTGAAATTCTCTGGTGACTCAGCCAGCACCATTCTCATTTCCATATTCATCATTTTCATGACAGACTGCAAATCAAAAATAGAGCACTACTGAAACATGGACGAATAATAGCTCTGTAACAGCTTCTGATGAATTAGACTTTAAACAGCCTAATTAACCCAGGCGAATATGCACAAGCTCTAAACAGTCCACTGCTGCAACCCGGAGCTAAATTCAGTGGTTAATTTCCAAGAAAGTCTTACCTTTTGTCTTTGAGTGGTGCTTAATTCGCCAACTCCTCCACCTCAATATAGTTAAAACTTGTAGTTAAAACTTGTCCGAATTCACCTGTTGAACAGAAACAAAAAAAGCTAAAATTACAAATTGGTGGCTTTGAGAAAAGAGTCATCACTGACTCAGAGCTAAAACATCTAGGTCATCACGAGCCTCCCACAGCACTGCAGAAATAAGATGACACACTTCATTCACCAGCTTTGAAAGGGTCTCTTTACAGATAACATAAATAAAAAAATATGTTAACCTGAATGTTAGTTTGTGCAATCGTAAGAAAAAGTGATGCTGAAGGAGTGTGCGAGTGTGCGTGTGTGTTTCAGCACCACACTCGTAAATTGTATTCCACTGAAACGGCCTTACTTAGAGTATCTAGTTATATAGATACTCTCTGGAGAGTACACAGTTCTGGTTCTGTTGGATCTCAGCTCTGCTTTTGATACTGTAGATCACAGTAGCATGATAAACAGACTCAAGAACTTGTTTGGGATTACTGTTTTAAAAATGGTTTATGTCATATTTGTCTTAGAGATCTTTTACTGTTTGCATGAATTATGTGACGTCAGAATCAACAATTTTGCCATGTGGGGTACCTCAAGGATCTGTCCTGGGTCCAGTTTTCTTTCTACTTTATATATTCCCCCTAGGCCAAATTATTAAGTGCTATAAAAATATCTCCTATCATCTCTATGCTGATGACATTAACTATACTGTTCCTTCAGGATTTCTGAGTTTTAGAAATTGTTTAATTTAAGTAATTGCCTGACAGAAATCAGCCATGGTTAAATGACAATTTAACCACGGTTCCAACTAAACTGTGATAAAACTGAAACTCTAATTATTGCTCCAGGCCACATGGTCTCAGAAATTAGACAGCATATCAGCTTCCTAGACCCTTATGATTTGATTTCCTCCCGTTTAGACTACTGTAATGGTCTTTTTACTTGTTTTAACAGATCAGCCTTAAATCGTCTTCAGACTGTGCAGAATACTGCAGCACCTCTCTTAACAGGCATCAAGAGAAGATCTCATATTACTCTAGTTTTAGCCTCCCTTCACTGGTTGCCTGTAAGTTTTAGGTTTCATTTTAAAATTTTAGTTCTAACCTTTGGGGCCCTACATGGTCAAGCTCCCCAATATTTATCGACCTGCTGAAACCACATTCGTCTTCTCAAGCTTTAAGGTCATTATATCAGAGACTGCTGGTGGTACCGCGCACTTTCAGGCAGTGGCACCACGGCTGTGGAATTCTCTTCCACTGTCTCTACGCTGCACGGACTCCATTGATTCTTTTAAATACAAAAGCATTTTATTAATTTCCTCTTATGTTGTTTTTATTGTTTTACATTGTTGTTTTATTTACTGTTACATTGTTTTATATTTCCATTTCTTGTGTTGTAAAGCACTTTGTGATTTTTATCTGTGAAAAGCACTATATAAATACATTTTACTTACTTACTTTACTTACAATAATTATTGTCACATATTATGCCTGAATGTCTATTTTCTTGTAACTGTGCGGACTCGTCCACAGAAAAGTATCCACTAACTATTTTTATTTTTCAGTTGCCAATTCATTAGTTAAGAAAAAAAGAAAATAGCGTCAACAAAAATGTCACATTTGCCTGAAATTAAATCAATATCTTGGTAAAAAAAAAAAAAAAACTATTAAAAATCTTAAATGCATTAATTAAACAGAAAGAAACTGAGCAAAACAGAATATTCTAGAAAATGTGAAGCTGCAGCCAAAAGTTGTTTAATATCTCGCTTGGCGCCCAACTTAATGCTGGTAATTACAAATGTTAATTTACTTTATACGTGGAAAAACTCCACAGGTAATAATATTGTTTCAGCAATAATGGATGGATGTTCTAGTTACCGTCTATATTTAACTGACTTCTTATCATTAAATAGAATCATGATGCTTTTACAGCCTACAGGGTGCAAACAGTCATAACCTCAAACAAACAGTAGCATACAAATATGTGTAAGTACAGACTTGGAAGCATCAATGTAAAAACTTGGGTTCAGCTTAGGCAACATTGGCACAAGACGCAACTGATCAACTTCCACATTTTCCAACACAAAACAAAACTTTTTACAAATCATCTATTTGGTTTTTGTCACATTTCTCTGTGCTTTTGTCTTTTACTAAAAAAATAACGAGTCATTTTCAGAAATACAAAATCATTAGTGAAGTTGCTGGTATACTAACGTCACTTTTAAGGGAAACCCCAGTAGACTTGACCTATTTTTTTCTTCATCATAGTAGCATCATTCTAAGACAGTTTTCAATTCCACCTAATCTCCAAGTAGATCAGCTTCTTTATTTTTACAAGAATTACTTGCTGTCAAAAAAAGTTACCTTTGCTCTGTATTGTATATTTAAAGATTTTACTGCATTTAAATTTAATTTATGATGTTTAACTTACAATAATATCATAATTAAACCAACAGATTACTAGCAGCAAAAAGAAGGTGAAACATAAGCAAGACTGCACTGTATTTTTACTACTCACTAAATATCCATTCTGGTAAAGCACAAACAATGAGTATAATAAAAACATAAGTATATAGTTCAGTCCTTACACATTTTTACAAGTTCAAAAGTTCAACATCAAACAAGCCTCCGCCTGCACCTCGTCAGCTCCCATAACTCCGATATCACTGCGCATACTGAGCCAAAGAGATAAATTGTTTACTAAGAAATGGAACTAGTGTTTAGGTCACACAAAGAAACAACTGCTGACAAAGTCTGTGAATGAAGAGGAAAAATCCTCTCAGCTCTCAGTGAAAGGTCAGTGTGACACAAACAACCCTGTATGGTGAAAGGATTTCTCTGCAACTAATGCTGCTGTCAGAGATCATTGTCCTCTAAAGGCTTGGGGACAGCAAAGAGAAATCTTCACGAGCTTGTTAATATTTCACTTGCCACTGCTCTGTGTGAAAAACTAATTATGAGCCAACACATAATTCATTAATTTGGTAATTAATATGTTGGTTTCAATAAAACTTCAAAAGAAAAAAATACTGTTTAACAGTGTACCATCTTGATGTCTGAAAATTATTTTGAGAATATTTACATCATATTTATTATAATACATTATTACAAAAAAACAGTGATAAATTTATTTAGATCTTATAATGTGGTCTTCTTATTAAAGGTGGACTGTTATTATTCCACTGACCTCCAGTCTTTTTTAACTACCATCAAAAACAAAATAAAGTGTAGCCTGCTTTAGAACAGCATGACATATCACTTCATTACAGTCAACATAAACAATCTAGTAGCTGATTTCTTAGTGAGCTTTTGAATAACTGGCTTCATCAAGTGTAAACATCAAATGTTAGCAGTTAAAATGTTTGTTTGTTTTTAAACAAATACCACTTTATTTCACCCCAAGATAAATCGCTCTTATGTTAGTGGAAGGGGTTTCTGTGTCCCTGTGATCCCAGGGGCTATACTGTCAAGGGCTTTAGCCCTGGTTGGGTCTCCTAAGGCAAACTGGCCCTGGGTGGGGAGACAAATGAAGAGCGATTCCGAGTACCCTGTGAAAAGAAATTACTGTGGTTACTGGGGCCCAACCTTGGAGCCAAGAGAGGTAGCTCAAGAGAGAGCATCTAGTGGCCAGGCCTTAGGGGCCAAAACATTCTCGGCAGGAACCTACTGTGGATTATGGACAAGTTGTTGCCCCAAGTGGAGAAATTCAAATATCCTGGAGTCTTATTCAAAGTGAGGGAAGCGGGAGATTAAAAGACTGACTGTGGCATTGCACCAGTTTGTCGTGGTGAAGCGAGAGCTAAGCGTAAAACTGAAGCTATCGATTTAGTGGTCTATCTATGTCCCTATAAGCTTTGGGTAGTCACTAAAGGAATGAGACTGCGGATACAAGTGGAAGAAATGAGTCTTCTTTGAAAGGTGGCTTGGAGATAGGGTAAGGAGTTCTTACAAGAGGGAATCAGTGTAGAGCTGCTATTCCTTCACAGAGAAAGAAACCAGTTTAGGTGGTTTGGGCATCTGACTTTGCTGCCTGGGTGAGGTGTTCCGGGCATGTCGTACTGCAAGGAGTGCCAAGGGTAGACCCGGGACAAGTTGGAGAGATTACATCTCTCGGCTGGCCTGGGAACACTTTGTGTTTCCCCAGATTAGCTGAAGGAGTTGGCTGGGAAGAGGGAAACCTCTGCAGATAAACTGCAGAAAAATGGATCCATGGATAGATAGCTTAATGGATGGATATTGTATTTCAGCAGAAACAAAATCTTACACAACTTCAACAGGCAATGCAATCCAAATGACACAACAAAAATTATTAAAACAGCAGTAAGGTTCCCTACTAGTGAAATCAGCATAATAAATGGCTGTAATGATAAGTCGATCTATCTCATTACAAAAGAATTGAAACCTCTGAGTCATTGTGAAATTGCATTTCACATCAAAAGAGGAAATACCTGTCAAATTTTTTCAGGTTTTTAGGTCAAGTTAAATGCTGACTTATCAACTCCTGTTTTCAGTAACAACTTCAGATGTAAAACCCATCAACAGCCAAAACTCTCATACAATAATTATTTGTAGTAATTGAAAAAAAAAAAAAAGCAACAAGCAAGAGATTCATCTGAAAAAGGCTTTAGAAGTCATCCTCTGGCAGAGATTGAAAACAAAGCAATTAGTTTGTCTGACAAAATGCAGCAAAGACATGGTTAAGAACTTAAGAAACATAATATTACTAAGACAGGGTTGGACGAAAGACTTCTGAATGGAAATCTGGTGCTTGAATTCTATAGATGGATGCTGTAGCACAGATTTTGAGAGGAAAATGACCCTGAGGACACGATGCTCTAGTAGTCATCCTTGACACAGTGTGCAGTTCACATTCAAAACAAATGCACCAAGTTCATAGCATCAATGATTACTCAAGCAAAACACAAACTCTGTAATGTGAACTGACTAATGCAACTTCCAAAATTCAGCACAGCACTCCAATCTGCTGACTAACAGTATCAACTATAGATATAAAGCCCGAGTAGTGCCATTACCTTTTATCTGTCCTCTGAATAGCTGAAAGCTGCCAGAGAACATTGCACTGAATCAACACAGGCTCCTCTCTATCAGGAAAACTTGATATGACAGGCGTTCAGTAATTACATTATTAGGCATAGCAGGTAATAATATAATCTGTATGTGTTCCTCTACCTCCGTCATAGCTCACGGTGTTGCCAGTCCCTCCTCCTCCGTTTAAAGAAAATCTGCCATGCTCTACTGCTGCTTTTTATTCCAAATAGCCACAGCATCTAACGCACAAAACACTTATTCCCTGTAAATGTAAATGTGCAGTTGAGGTTTTAGAATAAAGTAGAAAAAACGTGACGCTTAAATTAAGATGCCAAGTAGAAACAGATAACACAAGTAAAATCTAATCTACCAAAGCAGAGAGAAAGTGGAGAAAGAGAAAATTTCTGCTTCCTCCTTTTACCTGCAGCACAATGTAGTGCCAGCAACTAAAAAGGTGTCAAAGTATTTTTCCATGCTCTGCTAACAGCTTCAACATCTATTTATGGGTAAAAATGGAGTACAGAGACTGTACCGTCTGTAAACACAGCTGCCAAAGATTTATCAGTTAATACAGCTTGACCAACACTGGACCCTTTTTTTTAACTTAAAAATTCTGAAAACAACAAGTCATTTAGACACATTTAAAGTAATCAAAGGCACACACTAAGATGCCTTTGATCCATCTTTTTTCCGACCATTATTAGAACATTTTCCGTTGTAAGAGAAACAAAGGAAGAGGGAAATTGCTCCCAAATTACTTCAGGTTAGTACTTCTCTACAGTCACGGTTACTCATCAGTCAATGAATATCATGCCAAATAGATATATCTGTTACTTGTATATATCTATAGAAAGATGATAAAAAGGAAGATACCAACTTGATAGTTTAATTAGTTTAATGATTAACAATGAAATCAAATCCTCACTATTGCGTTTACTGCCCATCACCACAGGCAAAAAAATAAAGGGTAAGCATGGAAAAAAAAAAAAAAAAAAAAAAAAAACACACACAACCTTAAGAGTGGTTCTAGTTGTTCTTAATCACAACAGACAGCATTGTAATTAAAGGTATTTTTCAGCTTCCAGGCTTAAGTTAAAGTCTATGCCATTTTCCCACAATTAAAAAGCTATGACAGTGACAAATAATAAATACTGATTTGCAGTTGTGGTTCTCGAAATGAACAGAGTGCACAAAGTGAAGCGTATAAACCATTTCAATACCGTTTGTATAAAGACGCCAGGTTGGCATGTTAGTCACCAGTTTATGTACTGTATAAAAACAGATCTGTCATGTTTTATTAAATCTGAACTTAACTAAACAGAATCAAATAACTTTGATTAGTGAAAGTCTTCTGTGTATCCAATTAGTGTCAAAAGGAGAAATACTCTTTATTCTGGGACAACAAAAAAGGAAGAAAAACAAAAAGTCTGAGAGAGAACCTTAGCTTTGAAGTGACCATTTCAGAAATACAGCGTGGTTACTGGTGTCTTGCTCAGAATAAATTACTGTAAAAATCAATTTCTAATTACAGAAAAACAAATCTTGCTTTATTTTTTATATCATAGGGCTGCCACAGCTCTCCACTGTGTTCAGTTTGCAGGCAGCAGTGTCAGCAACGCAGCAAGTAAAGCTTTGCTGACACCCGTATGAGACTATACAGTTTCTCATTAGCATCTACAAGCTATGATCCAGCTGTGTCCAGACACTTCTGGACCAGACTGACAGAAGATGAGACGCGATCGATTTTAGGACAGGTGAATAAGGAGCACCCGGGGCGGATATAGGGCTCGAAATCTGAGAGAAATGACAAGAGTCACAAAGATTAACACAGAGGGGGGAATAAAAGACATACGTCTAAATTAATTTTTTTTTAAAAAGACGCGTAAATATAGAAATATGTGCCGATGAGGTATTCACGGTGGTAGCGTTTGTAAAAATCAACTGAGCTTGAACCTTGACGCGACAAACACAGGTACAGCTCATGTTTCCTTCCGTCTCCTCCTGCCTGTGATGCCGGCCGGTACACCGGGTACTGATTGCCTGGAGGCTAACGCCACCTAGCTTGCTTCGCTAACGCCAATTACAGCAACAAACCAATAGCTATATACTTTAACACACTTCCCGAGACGTGTGACACACACTGGGAATATATGTACACCCGATTTAAAAAGAAGAAGAAGAAGAAGAAGAAGATAAAACAACATACCTGTCTGTATCGTACGTCGCTGGCTCGCGACTTTATAATAGAAGGTAGCGCGTTTGACTCGTCGGCAACAATGTACTGTATGTGTGTCAACCCACTTTCAGCTGAAGCTAGCTAGCTAACGTGCAGCATTAGATAAGAATGTGGGTCACCGGGCCTTTGGCCAGTCTCTGTCACCAAAGAAGCCGAAGCAAAACTGTTCCGTTTACACATTTACGTCTGTCGATAGTATACACAGAAGCTGCGGATAAAAGCGACACAAATACGGAGCGGAACCAAACGGTTGCGAGTTGACACTTACCCCGAGCAGTCTCCTCTTTCATCGGGATATCCCTGCAGCCAGTGGCGCTGCAGACGGTTGACTGCGCAGCGCTCAGGCAGACTCACTGGAGCTGGAAACGGTGCCAAGAGAGCCTACCTCCCTACAGATCCACTGTTTACACATAAATTACACCTGGCTGGAGAGGCCTGATCCAAATCCAGATTTACCTACATTACATTACCCGTAAAAAGTTAATAGAGAAGTCCCAAAAATGAAAGTAACTATATCCTCCAGCTCAGCAGATTAATTTTTTTCATGCTTCAAATATTTTTGATTAACGTCTCTGTATTTTGATTACTGTGTATTCAAAATGCCTTTAAGGACAAGTCAAATGTTTTCCGTTGATTTATTTTCCCGTCGCCATTCTCCTAGCTTTAAACTTAAATAACGTGTAAATAATGAGTTGACAATAGTATTTTAATGCGTCTTTAACTTTGAAGTCTACTTGATTATGGCATATTTAATAGACTGGCCATAAAATAGGTAAAATACTGAATTTGTTAAACCTTTAAGAAGAAAAAAAATGTTTTAGTGGATTTTTTTTTACATCTAATAAGTAAGTAATTAATTAAACATGAAAATAAACTAAGCCTACCATAAACTGGAAGGGAGTGAGCTTATATGCAGGAATGTGATTAAAGAAATTAGATCATTATGCAATTATTCCCTCTCAGTCCATCAAATTCCTCCCACCTTGAACTTTTAAGACTTACCGGGGGAAAAAATTCCAGGAGTAAGCGACACTTCTTTGGAATACTGCAAGGTTTCCGGTCCTTCCTATTTTTGTTTTTAGTTTGTTTGTTTTTACAGCAGGGCCACTTTAATTCCATTATCTAATAAACATGAAGTTATAGGTCCATTGCTTTAGGGTAAATATATGTTACCATGATTTAATGTTACTATGATGACTCAACTCTCTAGCTCAAGCTAATTAGTCCTTAAGATGTCCAGCCTCTGACAGCAGACTTGAAAGTCTGTGACAATCGTAATTCTGCGTGTAGACAATTGTTATTTGATTTGCAGAAGAAATTCATCTATCTTCAGTGTTATTCCCCAGGTATGACACCCTGTCACTTCCAAATCATCTTTTTTAGAAAGAAGAGCAAATTTCTGTTAATTGCCATTTGATGATCACTCTCATTTTCCCATTGTGAATTTTTCATATGCCTTCATTACACATAGCCTAAGCCCATATTACACAGAGCTAGAAAGACATCTATAAACACCTCCTCTAACCCTAAAACCTCTCCCCTGGATTCTTTTTGTCATTTTTCAGGGAAACTTGTAGGGAATTTTCTGTCTTCCCCCCCCCCCCCCCCCCCCCCCCTTTTTTTTTTTTTTTTGATGAGCTGAGATGGAGTGACCCTATACAAAATCAAAACCAGGTCTCTGCATTACTTTTGCTTTGCAAAATTTGAATGTCAAGAGCTTGACGTCTATCCGGCTTTATTTTTACATAAAGCATGCAATACCTTGTCACTCCTCTCTGCACCAACCAGCCAACATTCATGACGTGACTGATGGTAATAAAACAAAACCTGTGGACACAGTTTAACAGAAACAGAAAGAAATGCACAGTATTCAGCTAACAACTAGCAGCCTTTCTCACACTGATGCATTCCCATCACTCACATCACAATGTTGGCCTCACACTCAACCTGAAACAATAAAAATGAGAACTGGGAAACTACACTTTTAAGTGAAGCTTACTTAATATGCAAATCAGTTCAAGTTAATCAAACATAATCAGTTTAAATAGGTAGTAAAATGAATTGTGTTATATATATATATACATATATGTGTGTGTGTGTGTGTGTGTGTGTGTGTGTGTGTGTGTGTGTGTGTGTGTGTGTGTGTGTGTGTGTGTGTGTGTGTGTGTGTTATTACTATGAGTCAAAGGCCTTAAAATGTTAGTACTAAATGTTTTACATCTTGCACTTGACACATACCCCTCATTGGCTGGCTGCAACTAAGACTATAAACTAAAATTGAAACTGAAACTTAAAAAAGCACATTATGGAACAATGAAACCTAAACTAAAACGACCACACTTGGGGAAAAAAAACTGTGACTAAACTAATAAAAGTAATAACTCAGATTGTGCATACTTCAAAACTAGTCATTTGAATAATTTTCCTTCTTCAGTTTGATGTCCAAAGAAGATCTGCATGCATAGGAGTGTTTTTTGTTTGTTTGTTTAAAGAATATAAATTCCGCTTGCATTTGGCCTACGCTTTCTAAGTTTTCTCAAGCAGACTCACGTGTTACTTTTGCGGTAATTCACAGCCAGGGGACAAAATAAAAGCTATTGTTGTAATTTTATATGTCATTGTTTTATATCTTATTTATCGTTGTTGTTCTTTGTGTCAAGTTTGTTTGAAGACAGGATTATTTGTCGATAAATTATCTCTGTCTGCCCTTTGGACGTGTGTCTTTATGTTTATCGGCCAACTCCGGGGTAGCCTACTCATCTCCATGACAACAGGAAGTAGCAAACCCTGCAATGCCACCTTTGGCCACGTTAAGGATGTGTGGCGCTTTTCCGATACTTTGAGGGAGATATTACAGTTTTTTTCTGATCTTTAGGAATTAGAAACAACCAATCTTTCCGAAATTGTACGCAATAAACATGGAGTAGTACACCAAACGATTCTAAATTAAATAGGAAAAAAATAATAATTGCAAAACTTATTAGAAAGAGTTTACACTTCGCCTAAGTTTGTCATACCTAGGCTACTGCAAACCCCAAACAAATTATAACATTTAAAACTCAGTCTATAACAGAGCATTCAGTTTGGCCTGGACCACAAGTATTAATGGTTTAGAAATGTAACTATTCGGGATAAAACAAACAGATTTTACACAGTAAATTATCTTTAAAACGGTTTTAAGATTAATTATGAAAAGCCAGGGACAAAGAACAATACTGTAATTTATAAACCCTATAAATTACAGCATTATCACCTTATCACAGTCTGCGTCTTCTTCAAGCCTCCCCTGCAAGCGTCTTAAATTTAAGCAAACATACAGAGGCAGCAATAAGAAAAATCACCACAGAGCTTTATTTACAATTTCAAAGCTACAAAAACAATTAAAAGGGCTATAATATGATTTCTTGCTCACATGTGCTCATCTCTAAGGAAGGATGGCAGACGGGCAATTTGGTCAAAAAACGTTTTTCGTTTTTCCAGTTATGTGATGATAGTCTTCAGTCTGGCTGGAACCCACTGAGTACACAGAAGAAATAGCCTTTCTGGAGGTTATTGATTGGTGTCCTGTGTGAAATGCTGCAGTTGGATTTTATTTTATTGACTTGGCAAGAGCTCCTGTGGTATTTTACACAACTGCTCTTTCTGTTTTTTAGGTTCGCACACTAATTACGCCTTAAAGATAAACACATTCTTATTTATCGTGCTGTCACTGTTTATACCCAAAAGAATGATTACAGTGTTTGCCCTCGATCATTATAGTGAGGTCACTCTTGAAAAAGAGTTGTTGTTGTTTTTTCATCTCAGTGAGACTTGCCTGGATAAAGATAGGCCATAACAATAATATTTCACGATGAACTAAAGGAATTTGAACACTTTTAAATTCATTCACTTATCTCACCGGTAAAGGTGAGTAACTCTCTGTGAAATAATCGGAATGTACTTATTTATAGATCTATACAGCGCGTAAACATCATTATATACATTTCCTTCCTCTTTAAAGCGACACACCAGCATCGAAAACAGAATACAAAGAAAGAGGCTTTAACTGGCTGATGATAGCGACATCTACTGTTGATAGTAGTAATTACACATTCGTGTTCCGTGGTTGGTAATTTGCACTTTTAATTGACCAAATAAGTAATAAAATAAAATCCTGCCAGTAATTATCTAATACCTTATAACCAAATATCTAATCAGTCAATTGCAACTCAATGTATTTAGGAACGTAGACATGGTCGTGTTATTTGTTTATGTTGCGCATCAGAATGGGAATAAAGGGGAATTCAGGTTACTTTAAATGTGGCACGGTTATTATTTCCAAATGGGCTGGACTGAGTATTTCATAAACAGCTGATCCACTGGGATTTTAACCACAACTTCCTCTGTAAACCAAGGATTATCTGTAAAAGAGAAAATATCCAATGATCAGCAACTCTCTGGGTTGAAATGCCTTATTGATTTCAGAGATTAGAGGAGAATGACCAGACCGCCTTCCCGATGAATACTAAGTCAAATGGCTACTCATTCCAACCAAGGAATGCAGAAGAAGATCTCTCAATTCACATGTTGAATATTGAAGCATGTGATATCGACAGAAGACCACACCAGGTGTCACTGCTGTCATCTACAATCACACAGGTGGCCAAAAACTGGACAATAAAAATTGGAAAGCCATTGTCTGGTCTGATGAGTCTTGATTTCTGCTGAACATGCAGAGAGTAGAGTCAGAATTTGGTGTAAATAACATGAAAGCATGGTTCCAACCTGCGTTGTTATCAGTGGTTCAGGCTGGTGGTGGAGTTCCAGATGTACTTAATAAATTGTCTGATGTCACACACATGAAAAGTCACCACAAAAGGTGGAGAACAACAAAGAAAATATCCCAGCCAAACCCCCCAGAAAACCAAGCAGATATAGTGCTAGTTTAGTATCAGAGCCTCAACACCTGAGGCTTCTGCAGTAGGAGGAACTTACTTTACCATCTGTAACTTTATTATTATTAAAATTACACATTATACAACTGTACATCAAACAAAGCCATTTTCATGTTTAAATTACTCTTACTATTTTATGTAAAAACTTAATTCACCCCTTCACTCCTTCACTCTATTTTACACTGTTTTCAAATGTACTGAAATAGAACTAATCACACTGAAACAAAATTACACAACTACACCCAGCCACAGATAGCAGTTTTAATAACACAAAACAAAATATGGATAAATTAATAGTGTTTTAATTAATATCCATTGTGTACATTCAAACATCACTATAAAGCAGAGGCAGAGGGATGTGTTTGATGTCTGGATCACTCAGTGGCGGTACAGCAGCCTGGGTCTCAGGGTCTGTTTTGTCTCTGTACACTAAGCTTCAGAGGTGGAGACTCTAAAACACATGCAGGATGTGTATGAGTAGAAGATACAGATACATGCATTTGACATATAAACGGCATATAAACGCGGTCCTACGAGTCTAGTACAAAAGTCAAGAGGATAAATATCACAAAAACTCCAAAGCACTCTCTTTTCATGTAAAATTAAAATGCCTTTATGGAATAGATATAGTTTTTTAATTGTTGAAGACGTATATGCCAAAACGCACTGTGCATGAAAGTGCCTTTGGGTTTTTGATATTTTAGCTTATTTTAGCACAGTCACATAATCATTAATAAACTCCTAGAGCTTTTTCTTCTACTCTAAATTTCATGTACAATTACTTAATCTTTCAAACATAACATGAAGGCAGGAAAAAAACTATAACCAAATTTTTACCTTTAGTTCATTCATACTCTAAGGATCTTCTCCCATTCCGTGGCTGTAAGTGTAAACACAATTTTTAATTTAATTTCAAATTCTGCCTATTTTGTAGGCTTTTTAATTCCTTTTTAGTGGCACAAATGTAAACATACCCGATAGAGAAAGTAGCCTCTGCTCTGGATTCCTCCAGGTCCCTGGAGGTCGGCCTGTAAAAACATTTAAAAAACACACAATTTAGCCACCTGCAAAATTGCTCTTAGTGTTGTCTACAGCACCTCTTCACCACCAACATGTACCCACTCAAAGACTCACATCTGGATTTGAAAACACACACTCTCCACGTTTCTTGCTCACGTTTTATCGGCGTCCACTTTGTGTTTGTCAGTGCTTTGATAGTAAGTGGGGGAGGAATTCACCTGGCTTGCCACACCAATTATAGACCATAATAACTCTCAGCTTGGGAAAGAACAACTAATGTAGAGTGAGTTTGCACAGAGTGAGGAGAGCTCTCAGATATGCAACAGCATGATTGATGTGGACGCTCAGGATGTGGATAAACACACTGAAAACAATTACAGAATGGAGCACACACATTTCACTATAAACATTTGCAGCAAGCGCACAAAAGTGGAGCTGCTTTCATCGTGCCTGCTGCAATTATCATCATCTATTCATCACCTCTTTCTATACCATCCTGTTGCTCTTGAGATATCCAAATATATACGTTTAAGAAGTAACTTTGCATAATAGCTGTCCCACAGTGTAGGGGGATATTAAACAACACAGGATTTAATGACAGTTTGAGCCACTGATTGCATTTTGCATTCAAAAAACAAAGTATTTCTCTTTGTTTTATCAGTCAGTGGCTGTGGAGAACAGATGTGAGTGGTACATACGTGCATTGTGAGTCCTCTCTGTCTTCTAGTATTTAGTTGGGAAACTAGACGCAGAAGAGGGTGCAACTGAGGGGACTGACAAACATACACATATACAGACACATAGATAGATACAGGCAGATACACACACATGAATAACAGCAAAAAAGAAAGTACAGACTATGGAATGTACAAGGGCAAAGAGAAAAACAAGTTTTTTTCTCTCAACAGATAAACGCATGCTACACAGAAATACAAATGTACAAATGCTTCCTCACTGCAGCAAAGTGTGTTGCCTGTATAAATAGATCACATTCTGTGTCTCATTCTGTATCACAGAGATGGTGGAGTGAGAAAGCGAACAGCATCATATGTCACCGAAGCAAAATGCTGTGTTATTTCAGTAAAAGTTGCTGCATGTGCATTAAAGGATGTTTCCTGTCTGTGCTGGCTTCAATAACCATAAATCCACACCGAGGAAAAAAATATGATGTTTGTAAATATGACATCTGTTTTTCACACTGCGTATAATATTTGACGATGTAAACGTATCATTCTATTTTATATTAGCTGTAGAAAAAGGCTCCCTGCATCATCTAGCTTGAGTTCTGTTATGTGGTAAACAGCCAGAAAGTCTTTTGCATACAGAAACAACATGAACAAGGATTCATCTTCATCAAAAACAAACATACAAACAAATAAATAATGACATATTTTCCTTATAGTTAAGTATAAAATTGTGCGCTAAAATATCATCTGCAACTTCAGACACAATCCCCTTTGCTTTTGACACAACATTTGTGTGAGGTGTCAGGTATGAAGGGCAGACAGGAAGGATCGCTAACCCTAATACATCCAGGTTCTCGTGCGATCATGAAGCACAGCCTCCTACTAATCTATGATCTATAGGTATTTCACATGCAGAGCAAACACAGAGCAAAATTTTATCATACATATGTACATATTTAGATATATTAGGACCGTGCATGTTTACATTTCCAAGTGTTGGTCTGGCATGCATTTGTGGTTAGGGGCATGACGTGCAGTTACTTTTAATTGCTGGTGTTAATAGCTCTGATAGGCCTAAATTCAGCCGATTAAGAGGCGTCACAACAAGAAGTGCAGATTCAGTTGTAAAACAAAAGAGGTGGGTTTTTTAGGTCAAGCAGCATTCTGCAGCAATCCAGTTCAATCTTTTAACTTACCCCTCCCTTTGACAAGACAGAACCTTGTGGTCTAGAGTAATGAAACAAAAACTGCACATAGAGGGCAGGAATATATATATATATATAAAAATAACAAAAATAACAACCAAACCCACTCAAAAACCAGCACAACACATGCAATGTTTAATCTATAATGATAGCCATATAAGGCAAAGCATTAAAGTGTGAGAAAACATTTACTTACCCTTTTGCTATTTTCTCTCACATTCAGCTCCTGAACACACAATGAAATATTGACAACTAAATTAGTCTTTGGTCTTTTGCATGTCTTTTTTTTTTACTGTTGACATTGTATGATGTTAGTGGGAGGGTCATCTCATGCGTTTGTAGCTGTGAGCACTGAAGCTCCACCCACATGCTGTTCACATGTTGCTTACGAGGAGCAGCCAATCAGAAAGATCTCGATAAACAGGAAGGCGGTGGAATATGAAACTGCTTGTGAGCCGGCACCAAATCCAAGTATAAGATCCTTTTAAATTATGAATTATGCAAAGCTGCTCTTGTAGAGTCCAAGATTAAAGACATCAGACTGGAGAAAGAGCAAAATAGATCCTTTTAAAATTATGACTGTTGCACAGTATTTGTGTCTTTATAGTTCCACGTATAGTTTTCATAGTGTTTTGTATTGGATAGGGAAAGCAGGGTATCTTAGTCCAAAGTCTTCATACTGTGAATTCTCTGAGTTATGGTTTGGTCGTTCTTTGTGAATTCTGTCATAATGCCATAATTAATGTTTTAATGTTGTGTACCAAATTCTGCAAAACAAAAGTGCTTCATGTTACTTTTCAAGTAAACAACTCTGAGGTACCTTTGATTTCTGAACCAGCATCAACACACAGAGTTCTCCTAAGACATCAGATGCCTGGAAAGAGACCAGAGAGTTGTTTAAATGTTTCAAGTTATTAAAATACACACACACACACACACACACACACACACACACACACACACACACACATAGATATATAGATATATAGATAGATATATAGATATATATATATAGATATAGATATAGATATATATAACTCACCAAAAACCTCAGGTCTTCAGAGAGGTAGGATGAGCACATGGCATCAATCTGCAAAGCGACACAGAGAATGTGGAGGAGTGCAGCAACAGAAATGATTAAAAAGAATAAATCAGTGTGCTTTACCTCTCTGAGTAGCTGCCCCTGATCTGCTGTTGCCTGCTGAAGATCTGCTGGAGCACCTTTTTGTTTCATACAGAAACACATACAATATACAGTTAATACAGAAACTGACGCAACCGATTTACAGTTTTTCTCCCTTGCCCAATTTGTCATTTCTATGATTCAGGGGTCAGCTAAAACCAAGGAAGAACAGGAACTGTTATTATTATTATTATTATTATTATTATTATTATTATTATTAACAATAGTAATAATGATATGTATTATGTATGTGTTAGACCTTTAGACTGTATTTATGAGACTAAAATCTTTAAATGTATTCAAATACATGTATATAAATGTTCAACTAGGAGTAATAAAAAACTCTCTGTACAGCAAGTCAGTGTCTGAAGTATGTTAAACTGTATTATCCCCATCAAATAAAATTTTAATTAAAAAAAAAAAAGACATTTAAAATGTTTTACCACATTAGGCAAATAGCTGAGAACACTTTTCTATATTCTGAAGAAATTATAAATTAATTGAATATGTTTTTATGATGAAAATCAATTTGACTTTTCCTCACTTGACAAATTTTATGCTCATTACTATCTCAGCATTATTTTACTGTGTAAGTGCTTGCTTATTATTTCTGTATTTATTTTTTACCTCTTATGTTGCCCTTACAATAAAGGTAAAACAAACCCAACTCCTCACAACACATATAAATGTAAGTCTATTTTTGATCTACAAAATAAAATCTTTTGTAAACTCCTTCACCTTGGAGAATGACTTTTGCAGAAGACAATAAGTCAACATTTTCCAGCACTGACACTGACTCCAAAAGATTACACGCAAACTCACAGATTACTCCGACAGCTGGAGAACTGACTGTCAATCTACATCTAAGTACATCTCAGTCATTTGTTACTTTCTGTGAGCTAGTAAACGCAAAAAGTCAGGGGTTTAAGATTTTTTTCCTTTCACCAAACTGTCTTGTACAGTTTGATATCATATCAGAAACTAAATCCAGGTAATATTGATACAGAAGATAGACAAGAAGTTCATGTTAAAGTTAAGATTTAAATTTCTTTATCACAAATCATTTTTATTTTGTTCTTTCTTAGCTTACTTGGATAGATAGATAGATAGATAGATAGATAGATAGATAGATAGATAGATAGATAGATAGATAGATAGATAGATTTAGACGTTATTCTTTAACTTTTTTAATTAGGAATAAACCTGCTTATAAGGAAATAAGCTGACTGACTTACTTTGGCAGACTGGTATGGTGAGGATGAGGAGGGCTGCGAAGGTGATGCTGGCCGTGCGGAGTGGACTCATGGCGCTGCTGCTGAGGCTGTGCAGGGTACTGAAGGCTCCGCGCTGACTTTGGCTCTGAAAGGTTCTCATCTCTCTCTTTGGCTGGCCTTTGGTGTCTTTTGTCTTTTGACTTCTTGCTCTTCTGACAGCTTGTATCTCACGTCAGAGAAATATGAAGGCTCGTGTCAAACACCCGCCTCTCGTGCTGACACTTGACTGCGTCACTGGAGCTCGGCGCGCGTAAAAGTTGTTTGATTGCCGCAACAGGTTGGCGGAACGAGGTGCTTCGGGCAGGCTGATGAAGGATGGATGTAAAGCAGGAAGTGAGTAAAGTTGTATCACGTCCATCAGAAAATAAATCAATAAATAAGATAAACATGTTTTTTTTTTCGTTTCGAACTTGAAAAATACGAATATGATAAAGTAGGCTACAGTATTACTCATGTCTTTGAATTGATATCTAGTTTCAGATCGGTGCCTATCTTCTTTTAGAATTGTAAAAATTCCCACATGAATTATTGTAAAGTATACAAAGTATTTATATCATAACAATCATGAGAAATTTTCTCCACTAGCTGTGGATTTTATTTATTTATTTTTTGTTATTAATATCATTAATAACTTATTTTTCCCAAAATAAGTTAGTATTCGGTCTTTACATTAATAATAATCAATTTGCACGCTTGTTGTTATTGCATCACATGAGCTCAGGAATCTAATATTAGCATGTTAGCGTTTTAAAATCACTTATGCTATGCGAACTTTTTCAGGTGTGGTCTTGGAGAGAGGTCACAAGATTCAGGTTCAGCTAAAGTAAACAACAGATTTGAGCCTTCCTTGGCAAAAATAAATAAATAAATAAATGAAACAATATACCTAAAGCACAAGAAACACACAACATTAACATTTACACATAAAGACTAAAGGGCGATTTATAGTACTGTATTGAATCCATGGTGGGCAAGGTCATCATTTGACTTCAGAGCAGAGTTACGCAAGCAACAAAAACTGCACATGTCCACACTGGCAAAACACAATCTATTTTATTAGCATAATGAGCATGTTAACTGCAATCTTTTACATTTTGTTTCACTGAGGTAGTGTCCTTGTGCTATTCAATATATGATGTTTACACTACATATTGCCACCAAACAGACTTATCAAGGTTGCTGACGTCTATGCCGCCACATTGTGTAGTTACATTACTAGTAAGGTGCCCATCCCGTTATGGCAAAGGCTATGTTATGAAAAATAAAGTATTAGTTAAACATAACACCATGAAGGAGCCAGGGGAGACAGAAGGAAGTAGAAAACACAAAGAAATCAAAATAAATCAAACCCAATAAGGTCAAACCCAGTAAACAAAAGATCTTCATATTAACAGCAAACATGTTTTTGTTTTAGTTATCTGTATATCCACTGTGCATGTATTAATGTGCATCAAAGCACTTGTTTGTATTTCTTCCACAAGTAAAATGTTCTTAAAGGAAAATCCTAAAAAAACATTTTGACACAGACCTGTACACTCAGCTCACAGTTTATAACCTCTAAACTAACTATTGTTAAACAGCTAACACCAGATGGCCAATACTTCACTAAAATTGGGTCATGCAACAGGACAATGATCCTAAGCACGAGAGCAAATCTGCAACAGAATGGTTGAAAAATACAAGAATATGCGTGTCATGGCTCAGTGTCCAGATCTCAACCTAAACGAAATCCTGTGGTAGGTGCATTAGAGAGGTCAATGGACTGAAGCAATGTTTTAAGCAAAAATTCCCTTACAGTGATGTGAGAGACCAATAAGGTCATACTGAAAATTTTAACTTCAAATTATTGCTGTTAAAGATTGTTCTATAAACTACCAAAACATGGGCTATGCACCATTAAGTCCTATGAAAACTTGGTTTTTCACATGATTGTAGTTATTTTTAATCATATTTTTATGCTAAGTCACACTTTCATCATGTGTTTGAACACAGGTGCCAGTAAAAAACAAGAAAGATGGTAAGTGATATAAGAGAGGTTTTAAAGGGGTAAAAAAAAAACACACACACACACTCAGGATAATCAAAACAAAAAGTTGAAAGGACTGAGAGTTGGTGTAGACCATAGCTTTGCTGGGAAGACATAAGCAGAGCTATATCCCAGTTACTGTTTATGACTTTTCACCTTGTTCTTAAAGCTTGAAATTGGTTCTGGTTTCATTTTATGTGGTCATCAGCAAAACATCACCTCACCTGTGAGATGGAAAATGTTATTTCACGCTTGAGACCCGCTCTAATAATCAGTGGTAAACACTAATGCAATATGATATTGTAGCATGGATTATTTAGTGCTGGTGCTAGTTATCCAACACACTGTTGTGCCCAATGATAACTAAAATAACAATGGCTATTAATTTTAATGAAAAGAGACAGAATATATGCAAAAATCCAGAAAAAACAAATTATATTACAACCAGTTACTTAATCAATTATAGATCAGTCTTGAGCTCCATGCAAGATCTTGACTCATGGGATGAGGATGATCATGAGGAAGATAGTGGATCAGCCCAAAACTACATTACAGGAGCTTGTTAATGATCTGAAAGCAGTTGGGACCATAGTCAAGAAGAACACCGCTGGTAAAACACTAAGCACTAATCTTACAACATCTGCAACGTCTCCCTGCTCAAGACTGCACATGTACAGAACTGTTTGCCAGTGAACAGCTAAATGATTCAGTAAAGCCTTGGGGGGGAAAGTGCTGTGGTCAGAAGAAACCAAAGTGCAGCTCTTTGGCATCAACTCAATCCACCATGTTTGCAAGAAGAGAAATCCTGAGTATAACCCAAAGAGCACCATTGCGACCCTTAAAACCGAGATGGAAACATCATGCTTTGAGACTGTACTTTAGATGGAGGCATGTACTGGAACAAGTTGGATAAGAACCTCCTTCCCTCAGCTAGAACACTGAGGATGGGTCGTGGATGGGTCTTCCAGCATGACAATGACCTAAAACATACCGATAAGGAAGCAAAGGACTGGCTAAGGAAGAAACACATTAAGGTCATGGAGTAGTGTAGGTAGTTTCCAGACCTCAATCATATAGAAAACCTGTGGGGGGAACCGAAGCTTTGCGATGCCAAGAAACCTAAAAGAATTATAGAGTTTCTGTAAAGAGGAGAGAGGCAAAATCCCCCTTGCCAACAAGGGTTTCTCCACCAAGTACTTAGTAATGTTTTACGTGTAGCTTAAACACTTACAGTGGGGCAAAAAAGTATTTAGTCAGCCACCGATTGTGCAAGTTCCCCCACCTAAAATGATGACAGAGGTCAGTAATTTGCACCAGAGGTACACTTCAACTGTGAGAGACAGAATGTGAAAAAAAAAAAAAAATCCATGAATCCACATGGTAGGATTTGTAAAGAATTTATTCGTAAATCAGGGTGGAAAATAAGTATTTGGTCAATAACAAAAATACAACTCAATACTTTGTAACATAACCTTTGTTGGCAATAACAGAGGTCAAACGTTTACTATAGGTCTTTACCAGGTTTGCACACACAGTAGCTGGTATTTTGGCCCATTCCTCCATGCAGATCTTCTCGAGAGCAGTGATGTTTTGGGGCTGTCGCCGAGCAACACGGACTTTCAACTCCCGCCACAGATTTTCTATGGGGTTGAGGTCTGGAGACTGGCTAGGCCACTCCAGGACTTTCAAAATGCTTCTTACGGAGCCACTCCTGGACATGCACTGGCTTCAGCAGCGGAACACGTCTGGCACTGCGGGATTTGATTCCCTGCCGTTGTAGTGTGTTACTGATGGTGACCTTTGTTACTTTGGTCCCAGCTCTCTGCAGGTCATTCACCAGGTCCCCCCGTGTGGTTCTGGGATCTTTGCTCACCATTCTCATGATCATTTTGACCCAACAGGATGAGATCTTGCGTGGAGCCCCAGATCAAGGGAGATTATCAGTGGTCTTGTATGTCTTCCATTTTCTGATGATTGCTCCCACAGTTGATTTTTTCACACCAAGCTGCTTGCCTATTGTAGATTCACTCTTCCCAGTCTGGTGCAGGTCTACAATACTTTTCCTGGTGTCCTTCAAAAGCTCTTTGGTCTTGGCCATGGCGGGGTTTGGAGTCTGACTGTTTGAGGCTGTGGACAGGTGTCTTTTATACAGATGATGAGTTCAAACAGGTGCTATTCATACAGGTAACGAGTGGGGGACAGAAAAGCTTCTTACAGAAGACGTTACAGGTCTGTGAGAGCCAGAGATTTTCCTTGTTTGAGGTGACCAAATACTTATTTTCCACCCTAATTTACGAATAAATTCTTTACAAATCCTACCATGTGAATTCATGGATTTTTTTTTCACATTCTGTCTCTCACAGTTGAAGTGTACCTCTGGTGCAAATTACTGACCTCTGTCATCATTTTAGGTGGGGGAACTTGCACAATCGGTGGCTGACTAAATACTTTTTTGCCCCACTGTATTTCCTTCAATGACATACAAATAAATTTATACATTTCATCTAATGTGTTTTTTTCTGGGTTTTTGGTTAATATTCGGTCTCTCTCCATTAAAATGAAACAACTATAAAATTTGGAGACTGTTCGTTTCTTTGTAAGTGAGCAAACTTACAAATTCAGCAAGGGATCAAATAATTATTTCCCTCACTGTAAGCATGGAGCATGATGTATAGTATAGTGAATTATGTCTTCTTTTTTTTCAAACTTTTGTTAAACTTTTCATGCATTCACGCAGTCGTGTATAGTTAAATGTACATCATTATTAGGATGAGTCATTACAGATCATTACTGAATTATCTCTTCTAATACCAGGTAATTGTTGGCCCTTGTGTGAAGCAGCATGTGTAAAAGCAGACACACTTGGCAACGCTACATTTCATTTTGATCCAGACAGTGTAACAAAAGGAAATAATGATCGCCACTGTTCTGTTTTCTTCATCTCAACCCAATATGAATATAAGATGAATTAATGAGATACTACAAAGCAAGGTGGGTATATTTTGGCTGTAATTGGCTTCACTGTTACAAGCAGGGGCTTGGATTGATTGACTAAGAAGGCATGACACGAACCACAAATGAGAAACAGATGCTGCA